TATTTTCAATTAAATTATCACTAACTTTGATTCAGTATTTATGAAGTTATGAGTTTTTAAATTCAACAATTGCAAACGTTGTGCTGGTTTTGTGAGTCACTGTAACTATGTAAATATTGGCAATTTTGGGTTGAGGGGGATAATTCTTTCATTCTTGGCACACAGGTAGAAATATACAATTTCAGCCTCAATTAAGCTGCTGATTTGTTTCTGAAATCTGTCAGAATTGCATGTTAAAGATTCCCGTCATGTATTATAGGCCATCCGGTATTGACAACTCCCGGTTCTATTTTAACCCTAAAAATGATACAGTTCAGATAGTCTTATTCTCAACTGATTTATTATTATGGATGCCATCTTACTGAAATCAGTATTGCATAATTACGCATTACACTTTTCAACCTTTTCCTGAGTACTCATGCCACCTATATATATGGAACATTTCAGACAGAAAATTATGCAGAAATGTGTCGTTTTGACTTAAAAAATACTAATTGAATCTCAATATATGTAAAATGTCAACACATTTCTGCCTAATTTGAAAACGTGCCTGGTCATTGTGACTTAAAAAATACCAATTTCTTCTCGATATATGCAACATGTCAGCCAGACACGTTTTCAAAATTAGGCAGAAATGTGTCGTTTTGGCTTAAAAAATACTAATTGAATCTCAATATATGTAAAATGCCAACACATTTCCGCCTAATTTGAAAACGTGCCTGGCCGTTGTGACTTAAAAAAATACCAATTTCTTCTCGATATATGCTACATGTCAGCCAGACACGTTTTCAAAATTAGGCGGAAATGTGCCGTTTTGACTCAAAAAATACTAACTGAATCTCAATATATGTAAAATGCCAACACATTTCTGATTTGAAAACCCGTGCCTGGTCGTTTTGACTTAAAAAATACAATTTCTTTTCGATATATGCAACATGTCAGCGAGCTGGTCGTTTTGACTTAAAAATACCAATTTCTTCTCGATATATGTAAAATGCCAACACATTTCCGCCTAATTTGAAAACGTGCCTGGTCGGTTTGACTTAAAAAATACCAATTTCTTCTTGATATATGCAACATGTCAGCCAGACACGTTTTCAAAATTAGGCAGAAATGTGTCGTTTTAACCAGGAACGTTTCAAAATTAGGCAAAAATGGTTCGTTTTGAATTAAAAAAATTCTAATAAAATCTATAAAACACTACCGTATGATTAAAATGTGTTATTTGGACAAAGCCATATTTAAGATGATGAAATCTATGAAACATTACAGTATGGTTGAAATGTGTTATTTGAACTATGCCATTTTTAAGATGAAATCTATGAAAGACTGCAGTATGGTTGAAATGTGTTATTTGAACTATGCCATTTTTAAAATGAAATTTATTAAACACTACAGTATGGTTGAAATGTGTTATTTGAACTATTACTATGCATTTTTAAGATGAAATCTATGAAAACATTGCGGTATGGCTAAAATGTGTTATTTTTACATTAATATTAATATGGACTCATATTAGATACTGAATGCTGAAAGTGGTCCGATTTAAGGCTGGCAGTTTGGGCTACTTCTACCTGTGGCAGTCACTGAGAGAAGGAAAAGCTTTTGAATTGCACGAGTGATGTAACTTTGCTTGTGACATTGTTACCTACGATTTCGATGGTCTTCAGAGGATTAGACTTTGAGCTTTTTGTGTTTAAGCAATGCACTTTGCTAAGGCCAGATTTGTCAGATAGCATCTGGATTTATGATATGCATTTATTTACACTGCAAACGCTGAGATAGTACCGGTACGTCATAACCAGATCACAGACACATATTGTTTTGTCACTGAGAATTACATGTAGGCTTATTTCTGAAATGCCGCAGAATGACCAAGAAAATCAATAATCACAGAGCCTGTTACTATATACTAACCAATTTGAACATATTAAGAGAGGGAGATCTGCACGCGATACAAGGGTGACCGGATGGTTGTGGTCAAGGTACCTTGTCGTCATCATAGTGTCACTTGTCGTAATATAAACGTAGTGGACACCCTTAGGCAAAGTCTCATTAAGTCGAAGATCCAGAGATGCGATTTCCGGAAACCGCCGAGTTCCGCCTTTAGTCCGACAAAGCGACATATAGTATTTGATAATCGAGGGGCTCCTCGTATTGGTACCTTTCTTTTTCCTGATGAGCGGTTTTTTGAGATCCGTGACCTTGGATCTGTGATCATTGTACGGCGACAAGGAAATTTGAATAAAGTATAGTTCGCAGTCCGTCGAATATGCCAGTAGGTCTGCGACCGAGTGTCCCTTTTTCAAAATTACTAGGGTACCCGGTTCCAAGGTGGGTATCGCATTCAGTGTCAAAGTCTGTTCGATCGCTTGGATGAGGGTAATCTTCCATAATTTGTCTTGTGGTTCTCCCAAGAGGGTCCTGCTCCTAAAGTGGACTTCAATGCGCTTTTGCGGCCTGAAGGTCATGGTAATCAGGAGCTCGAAGGCCCGCCCGATAAAATTCGGTAGCTCGATCGTAGAACCCGCCGGTGTCGTCTCGGATTTCACGGAGAGAAATGCCCAGACGTGTATGCCAGGCCTCACACCAAAAAAAAATCATCCACGGGACAAGCCCGGAATGATATCGAATCTGATCGGCGTCGGCATCTAAGAAAGAGATAGCTAAAGCATGAAGTGATGCAAATGCTGCTGAGTCTGAAGTTAACTACCTTCGGGGAGTCGTTTAAATTTATGCTGGCATCTCAAGATGGAGCTGAATTCATCCATGTCATAGGATGGAATGTCAACCATAATCGTTTGTGCATCGGCATTCCGGAATTCTTCATATGGATCGAAAGATGAGGAAATGGCATAAAGCCAAAAGCCCGAACGCTAGAAGCAGACACATATTAGTTATGATCGAGATGATTATTGGTCATCCCATGTATAATTATGTGAGACTTACCAGCTTGTTTTTGGCAAAAAGATTCAACACCCTATTGCCCACGTTTTGGGGGGAGCACCGGGCATTCCATTCATCGATGGCAACAAGAACCGGATATCTGCAACAATTGAGATATGAGCAAAGTAATCATTTTGGGATAGCGATAGGGATGGAATTCAACTCACTTAAGCTCTGCATTAAGAACAACATCAAAGACCTTTTCCAGAGTAGCAAGTGGGTTGTTGAAGCCATTCCTGATACAATCATACAGCGACAGCCCTTGCTGAGATTGGTCTTGGATGTCAAAATAGGAGGATATGGGCAAATCATAAGTCTTGTCAATTTTGATTGTTTTCAGTTTATCGCCTTCGGCCTTCATGAAATTGTTCAGAATATTCCTGGCTGCCATTGCCTCATGCAGTCCACTGACTTCTCCCGCTGGATGATAGAATAAAGATATAAATTAATTTTTGCTAGTGACAAATGAAAAATAAATTGACGACTCACCTCGTGGAATGTATAGAACAAGCCATCCTGAAGCCCGGCAAAAGTGAACAACATGATAAAGAACATATGACTTGCCGGCGCCAGCAGGGCCCCCTGACAAAACGACAGATGGCCAGATCAGCAAACTATTCGAAAACGGGGATGAAAATCAAGTTGCAAGGATACTCACTGATAACTTTACCAACATTGCCAAACCGCCCTTTCTTATCAAATGCATTCTTTAAATCCGCAAAAAACTTGATGAAATCGAGAGCACAGTTTCTGATAAGGAATGGTATATGTTCATTATTCAGGATGGATGCATCCACATTTGGATAGTTAGCACGCGTCATTTCCTCGTAGACAACTCCTGTTGGTTCACCATCTGGCACCAAGGATTTGTCGAGTAGAAAAATGCGATTGACGTGTTGGAGTGTGTGCTGTGTCTGTCAATTCATATAGAGAACAAATTCAAACTATTAGTCTTCACATATTATTATACCAGTCAATGGCAAAAGTTTACTCACGGTGTCAGTAATATCGAGTAAATTGAATGGGTCCTCGTCAGTGTCCAGATGTGGAAGAGGTTCATCTTCGAAATAATCAGTGTTATGGTTGTCTTCGTCATATTCGTCATCTTCGTTGCTGATAGACACATCATTGGTAGCATCACTAACTGCGTCACTTTTGCTACTTTCGCTATCTTCCCTGTCGGATGTATCAATTCTTGAACGGGGTTTCTTTGATACTTCTTCGCTTTCAAGGATTCCTTTTCGTTTCAGCGAGCTCGAACTGGTAGCCATACTATCGGTGATGGTATGCTTTAAATGACGAGTAAACGACTTGAACATGTAAGTTAGGGCGAAAATGTCCGAAAAACTCCTGACTGTAATATTTATAATAACACGACAGTCCCCGTTTCCCAGTGAAATAGAATATGCAGGGTCAGAAAGAAATAGCTAACCTTAGTAAAATTCTCTGAAATGTATGTTCTCCGCCTAATGAAGTCCCCGAAAAAAAATATAGATATCAGCTTTTGCATGACGATTTATGTCATCTGATGTAATGATGTAATGATGTAATGCACATAAATTTGCGGAGTTACTCCTTACTTTCAATCTCTTCTTATCATATCAGCTTACGCGTTATTTATCATGGATGTCATCACAATGAATAACATCAACTTTGTTTCTAATACTTCCACTAATGTTCTATCTTCAACTAAAGAAGAGATGGACGTTAAACGAGGTAAATTTTAGCTATTTGCTACGAAAAAAAAAACAAAAGGACTTTCTCTAAATATTGGTACTTTTCACCCTAGATCTGGGATTGCATCGAAAAAAAAGCAAACAGGGAAAGAAAGTTTACAAGCGATATCTTCTGCCGTACAGGTAACTCTCAAATGTTTGGTTTTCTTGTATCCATGGCATAGTGTTGACTTTTTGACCATCAGGAGAAACAACATATCAATCGTTAACCGATGATTATGAGGGGGAATGGAGCCAAAATCACCATAGCCTCCCCAGTAGATGCACTCTGTTACATTTACACGATCAACTTTCCTCTCCCGAAGAAAAAAAAAGTAAAGAAGGATATGTTTATCCCAAAGAAAAATCTCAGGAAGAAAAAGAAATTCATATATCGTCATCAGGTGAGGTTTCTACTTCGACATTTCAACCAACTTTATCGATGGATAATTATAATGGTACCCAATCGCCGGAGACGTCCAACAACCATAAACGTCTCCTGGAAATCGTACCAAGAAAAGATAAACGTTGCGCTTGGTGCATCAATTATAGCTTACTATCTTGGGATTCAATATAATGGAGGGTCTTGCAAACTTTGTATACCATCCACAAAAGAAATTGGCCGTCATTGAAGACACTGGTGAGTTGATCACTGAGGTGGAACTTAAACGCCTTGTAATGAATGACTTGGAAACGATGGACTACTAGTAATATAGGATTTTCGCAGAATATTATTGGTATAATGGGTTTCTATATACTGAATAACAATATTAAAAATAAGGGCAAAAACTTCGTTTAATTATAATACTTTCGCATTCGTTGTTTTTTCTGTTTCCCGGTGGCGTGCAGCCCAGCCACGTATATTGGTAGGCTATGTTTATGCCACACAACTACCCCAGGACACATGACTGCAGTGGGTGAAATTATAGAAGCAAAATTTAAATTTGTACTAAATTTATGTTAAACTCAAATCTTACATATATAAATAATCACGTGTCCGTAGATTTTTGATGGCGATGCTGGAAAAAATTATGCCACACATGGATATCATGTGATACATTCGTCTCAACATTACAGCATTAATTTATAATTCTGTAATTGAAACTCGCTTGTTTCGAAACACAAAGTTACGCGTCAGTTTTAAACAGCTTTACAGTTTCAATACATCAAATTTAGCGTTACGGTTATGTTGAAACTCATTATTTGTTACTTCAGACGAGGCTGGAATAGTCATTGAAAACACATGCAGTTAGACATATGTCTGAGCGTTCGTGATTGAGTAACGTATTCTTCCTACCCTTCCATTATGATCAATAATTGCTTTGTATCGTATCAAAGTGCTTCTTTCTATAACAGTTTTAACGTCTCCTAATGTCTCATTACCGGCGTAAACGAGTGTACAAACAGCATGTAAGCATCCAATCATATTAATTAGTTATCTGATATATGGAAATCGTGCAAAGCGACTGTCCAGGGAAAATAGGAGCTGTGGGCGCAAACAGATAACCAGCCAAAGTATGTGAAAACTGAGAGTAATAAAAGGCAGAGCATACTAAATGGCAAAAGTATTAAGCGTTGGCATAGAGATACACTTGCCAGTTCTCCATTCCAGCACCTTGTCAAGCTCATCTGGATACCAGTCAACTTTGTCTTCCATCAACCTAAAAAATGAGTAGAATATTCCATCAATTTGAAGTGCATCTCACCGTTCCTGCGCCTCTTTCTCCATTTGAACGGACTTACCACGCAGTCTCATTTGTCGAAACTACGAAGTACTTTTCCGATCAATGGAATATTTATCGTTAAAATAAAGATACCTGCTAATCCTACTTTGCGAAAAGGCCTCTTTAGCTCCTGTAAAACGATTCTCTTTCAAAACGCTTTTCGTGAGGATGCGTTTTCCGTCGCTCCACGTGATTCGACCAATTTCCGTCATGCTACGTCGTTTATTACAATTGCGTCTTGTTTGATCTTAGAAGTGCTTGCGACCTTTGAACAAATGTCCACTCAAGCGCGTCAACCTCTTCAAGCTAGCCGTCCCCGTCTCATTATGACTCGTAATGTCCCACCCTTCCAGCCACCGCCCGGTGTTCATCCAGCGCTGGCTAACGTAAACATAAGCGGGTGGTCGTACGAGCGTTTTACACAGGAAATCATCCTGCTGAGAATTCCTGTGAAATCCGTTGAAGATGTAGAGCGACTGTGGCTCGGGTCATTAGACGACTTGCGTTCAAGGAAAGAAGTTCGTCGTGTATTTGGAACGTTTAGATAATGCCAAATATAATATCATTATTAGTAAGATCCGTTACAGTCAAACTTGGTTATAATATACAGATCTGTCTAAACCAATTATTTTTGAAAATTGGCGGCTATAGCGAATTTTATCAAGAAATCTGGTCATAACGTTATGCGAAGATGTACAAGAACAATCTATAGGCCTCTAATTGACTACGTGGGGAGTTCAAAAAGTTTTGACACAGTGTACATATTTCAACAACCACTGATCGTCTCAGCTTTATAAATATT